TACTGACCAAATTGCAACATTACAGATCATTGTGGGACAATCAATTGAATGGAATTCAACACTCTAAATCAACTTCATAGATTACGAGAGAGCACTAGACAGCGTGGATAGGAAAACACTTTGGAGGCTTCTTCGACACTACGGCGTGCATGGGAAGACAGTCAACATCATACGGAGTTCTTATGATGGATTCAACTGCGAAATCGTGCAACAAGGACAGCTAAAAGACTCTTTCGAGGTGAAGACCGGTGTGAGGCAAGGTTGCTTACTCTCACCCTTTCTCTTTCTCCTGGTGATCGACTGGATTATGAAGACGTCGACATCTGGAGGGAAGCACGGTATCAACTGGACAGTTAGGACGCAGCTGGAAGATCTGGACTTCGCAGATGACCTGGCTCTTCTATCGCACACGCAACAACAAATGCAGGGGAAGACGATCAGTGTAGCAGCAGCCTCTGCAGCAGTAGGTCTCAACATACATAAAGGAAAAAGCGAAATTCTCCGATGCAACACAACATGCACCAACCAAATCACTTCTGACGGAGATGCCTTGGAGGACGTTAACACCTTTACATATCTTGGCAGCATCATCGACGAGAAAGGCGGATCCGATGCAGATGTGAGGGCGCTGATCGGCAAAGCAATGGCTGCATTTCTACAGTTGAAAAATCTCTGGAACTCCAAACAACTTTCAAACAAAACCAAAATCAGGATTTTCAATACTAATGTCAAGACAGTTCCAGTTCTACTGTATGGAGCGGAAACTTGGAGAACTACCAAGGCCATCATCTATCAACAGTTGTCTACGCAAATTACTTCGAATTCGTTGGCCAGACACCATCAGCAACAACACTGTGGGAGAGAACAAACCAGATTCCAGTGGATGAGGAAATCAGGAAGAAGCGGTGGAAGTGGACAGGACAGACATTGCGGAAAGCACCTAACTGCGTCACAAGACAAGCCCTCACATGGAACCTTCAATGCAAAAGTAAGAGAGGAAGGCCAATGAACACATTACACCGAGAAACAGAGAAAGATATGAGAAGAATGATCAAAAACTGGACAGGACTGGAAAGGGAAGCCTAGGACAGAGTTGGTTGGAGAAAACTGGTCGGTGGCCTATACTTCATTGGGAGTAACAGGCGTAAGTAAGTAAGTAAGTCCAAGACAGTGCATGACCAGAACAATCGTAGAATGAGATCAATATGGTCTATGAGTCTAGATAACGGTTGTATGGAAGGTCTATTCTCTCGTCAGTTGAGGATGTGAGAACAAGGAGTCTGCTGGCCGCATTGTATTTTGTGAGTGTTATCCGGTTTATCATGTAAGATGGGAACGAAGTAGTGACAGAAAGCTCAATTTAAACAATAATTTTCGTCAGTAAGAGTAATTCTAAAAATGAACTGAAATTATGAAAAGTATGAATGGCAACAAAAAGTGTGCAGAATCAGTTTTTGTTACCCACACGCATAAAAATTATAGGTGTGTGCGTTACCTAAAGTATGTTCAAGGTCGTTTTGTAGTGTGAAACCGTTTTAATAATTATTGGTCTGTGCATTCTTATTTGCCTCATCTTTGAACGTTAGTTATACTAATTATCTATCCACTTTGTAATGGCTGGAGTAAGTATGGAACTGGTATGCGAATAATAAGGCACCATTCCCAAGCTCTAGATGTAATTCCGTCTTTCAGTATGCAAGCGAGTTATAATCAGATTCTGTGCTATAAACAAGGTTACGTTCGTTACAAATTGCCAGAAATTTACTGTTCATATTTAACAACACTGTACAACTATCTAGTTAATCTAAACTGTGGTTGTACATTTAGGATTTTAAAGTTCTGTTACAACAAGTTTTTGGAAATAAAGACCAATTTGGAGAAGTAAACTCGAAACATTAGTATTTACTCGTGAAGCATACAAACTAGGCCGAAAGTCTCCTTATTTCCCTAAAACGTAGACAATTTGAGGGAAGTTCCTGGACAGATTGGTGTAAAGTACAACGATTAAAGCAGTTACTGGGATTTCTCAACTATTCCTAAAAATACAAGGAACCGAGCATATTTATTCACAATGCTAAATAGCAACTGTTTAAAACTGTCCCAGTGTAATCAGGATACCTGGCCATTCAGTTGTTTGGCTTTCTTAGATATTTCGTTTGTACGACCACAAACTGCTCTCATTTCTCCTTTCCTGTTTAATCAAAATGTCCATCTGACACGTCACTTTTAGTCTGCTGTTTTATGGAACCATTTGATAAGGCTGTCTTATAGTCATAAATGAAGCTTGTTTGGTGCACTCGGTCTCAGTGTAGATTGTATATATATAGGTACCTAGGTGGAATAAGTTTGAGTAGTAAACTGAATTACGCGTCTAGTTCATATGTAAGTCTAAGTATGAGGTTTTACTGGTGTACAGACAAACTGGATTCACTATCAAATATCAGCGCAGTAATTATGGTAAGACACTTGTAAGTGCGTCTCTCTAATGTAGGTAGAGCAGTGCTTCATTGGTTACGAAACCTGAATTTTAACCGGTATTTCACAGGCACGAATCCAACTTTGCGTACTTCAACTTGGATATCTGAACAGTATTACTAACTCATGCAATACAGGAATAGAATCCCGGACATTCAGGTCTCGCGACAAATGAGTGCACATCACTTTTTGGGTCCCCTTTTCTTATTTTCCATTCTTGTCTATGTAAGCTGGTGGGTAGCAAACATTATCAAGCTCATCGCACATATTTTTCTTCTAAGACCACGAGCGTTTGTGTAACACAGATTTGAAGCGTTATGAGAATGACATGTTATACTAATACGATTCTCGAGGGCATTGGCTTCAAAGACCTGAATACACGAAAACTCTAAATCTCTACGATTTAATTTCGCAATTTTGATGTGGAGTTCTGCAGTCAGGAAAATCATTCTATGATTTAGTAAGCTGGATGTTGTCACGTAGTGGTAAACGTCTGATGGAGTATAGTAATTACCAGGGTGCTCAAAAATGTTTGGCTATGATGATGGTAATAAAATACCGCACTGACATCGTAGGTAGAATTTGGGGACTAGGCGTAATCCAATCTGATCTCCAGTCATCCTGAATGGCAAGTCGACGTAAGTCCGCCTAGTCTTAATGACGTTGAGAAAGCGTTAGGAAATCTGAAGAGAGGGCGAGCTTCAGGTCCTGATAGACTGACCCCTGAGATATTTAAGGATGGTGGTCCAGTTTTAGCAGCTAGGTTGAATGAGATCTTAGGTAGAATCTGGGAACTGGATGTAATCCCATCCGACTGGTCTCAATCACTGATTGTCCCGATTTATAAGAAAGGACAAAAGTCCTCGTGACAATCACAGGGGAATCAGTCTAACTAATATATTATCTAAAATATTGGCCTCAACAATATTTCGGCGCTTAACGAAAGCTCGTGAAGAGCAAACTCGAGAAAACCAGGCTGGTTTTCGACCTGGACGTGGTTGTATAGACCACGTCTTCACACTACTACAGGTCCTGGAACATAGACACACATTTAGGCGTCCTACAATAGTTGTTTTCCTGGAGCTAAAAGCGGCACTTGAATCTGTTGATCGTGAGGTTCTGTGGCATTGTCTGTCACTACCAACTTGCGTCACTTATGGCGTAGGTGAGATGTCCGTTTGCTGACTAAAGGACGAGTGTACTGCGCAGTAGTTCGCTCCGTCTTACTTTATGGCCTTGAAACATGGCCAATGAGAGTAGAAGATATTCGTAGGTTACTGGTTTTCGATCATAGGTGCCTTAGAAGCATTGCTCGTATATCCTGGGACACCCGAGTGAGCAACGCTGTTACTAAGAATCGGGTGCTAGGTAAGAATGGCAGATCAATAGATGAAGTAATGCAACTTCATCAGTTGAGGTGGTTGGGACATGTGTTGCGTATGCCTAACCACCGACTGCCTCGTCGAGCTATGTTTTGTAGTGTAGGAGTAGGTTGGAAGAAAGTTAGGGGCGGTCAAACCAAAACATGGCAGAAATCCATGAAGTCATTAGCGAGTGGACTAAGCCATGTCGGTAATTGTCGACTACCTGGTTGGGGTCCGCGAGATGATAATAATCGATGGTTAGAGACCTTGAATGACATGGCTCAAAATCGTTCGCAATGGCGCCGGTGCATTTATTCTCTGTGTTCTCTCAAATCCTAATCTTCTGGATTCTTCAACCCCTCTACTTTTGACTTTCTAAACTTTCCTCACTGAATCGTACTTGAATAATATCTTCTAATCCTAACCTCTCCGATTACTTCTAATACCCTTACTACCTCTTCTACTATTGGATTTGAATTGACAATTATATCTCTGTGCTGATATGGTATGGCGACATGAACTGATGTACTTACGTACGAAGTTCTACATTGCAACTGACTGACGGACTTTTCTAATGTGGTATGGCAACATGAACTTATGTACATACGTACGAAGTTCTACGTTGCAACTGACTGATTACTTCTACTACCTCTACTACTATGGGATTTAAGTGACGATTACCTCTCCGTGCTTACATGGTATGTCAATGTGTGCTGATGTACTCATGTACGAAGTTCTATGTTGTTGTCGACTGAACTGCTTACAGTCGCAAATATTTTCACAACGTTAGTACAACACATAAGTTTAAGTTTGTCTCCAGGCCACCCAAGTAATTGGAATTTTCAAATTATTTTTGACGTGTAGTGGATTCCTTCTAACGAAGAGTGTGGAAGTTGAGCACACAGTTTTCACAGATTTTCTCGGCATTAGACCCTTCAGGATTGTTTACAGACGTATCGGAGGGTATAAAATCCCAGTCATATATGTCCATATTACTTTCTCGTCCCTTTATTTTTTCATAATCTATTTTTGTCTATCTAATCAGGTGGCTGGGAAACAGCGCTCGAAAACTGTTGGTAGAAACCAAAAAAGTAAGCTAATTATTTGTTTTTATTGCGTCTCATATGTCAAGCTCATTAAAGGCAAGAAAATCTTTGTGGCATGCAGAATGAATCCTGTGATGTTAATACACAGAATGTTAAGTATATTTAATGCAGTTGATGTTTTGAACCACTTAGTTTGCGTAAACCCCTTAAAAAATTCAGAAAGGCAAAGAAGTCCGCAGATGTATCGCACAGTTTACAAGAAGATATTTTGAAGACCCCGATTAATCCTCATGTTCATTCGACTAGGAGAATAATATTCGATGAAAATGGTGAAATAGAAAGTTTATACACTTCAGATAATCGGGATGTATGTAGATTCCGATGTTTAAAAGTGAATTTTAGAGTCTTTCTAACTGTATTCGCAGAGCGAAAAAGCGTTCAGGATACGTCGCTTTTACAAATATATGCGCTGAAGACAAATGTACGTCACTGAAATCTGGAATTCCGATCCTTGAGGATACTTATATGTCTTACGTGTCAGAAGATTTACCAGAATCGTTACGTGAAATACTGATCAAACATGAAAATGATCAGCATTTAGAAGTGGCAATCTATAGTTTTCCCGTAAGTTTAACTTCTTTTCATAACATTTTAGAATGACTATGAAACTGTTGTCAAGTATTGGTATGACACATTCCAGAAAATTCATTCACTTCCACACCAAGTAAAAGTCAAGTGAGTTTTATACACTAACTGATTTCAACCATATTACTTTTTTATAATTTTGAAAACTAATACTCATGTTGCTATGTCGTCACCGTTAACACCTCTTTAAATCCTTTATAATCTTTTTGTTTATCTGACATTGGTAATAAGGTTTGCATTGCCTTCGATAACTTGCGTAAAACTCTGCATTTGATGTAGTCCTTATTCTGTTTGGTTTAGTGACAGCTGAGTATAATTATTTTCGAGTTATTAATAGCCACATATGTGATTTTGTTATGACATTCTACTGGTTTCGAAAAGTTATGTTTAACCTGTTTTTTTTCATTGGTCTTTCAGGAAGAAAGTGACAGAGGGTGAACAAACCTCTTGTCCACCACAACTGTAAGTTTGCCACATCATATTATCACGTGTACGTGTCTTTTCTGCTTAAAATTATGATTTACTCGCCATTTGGTTAACCATATTTAAATCACATGAATATTGGTTTACAATATTTAGTTTCTGTTTGTGTGAAGTATGATTTGATACTAAAGAAATCCCTCCATAATAATTCTCAGAAGATATTTTTAGGTATAAATCCTCGAATCCATTTAAGTGTTTTTAGCATGAATATTGGAAAATTCACTTTAAACAGGTTCATTTTTTCTTTAGTTTCTCACCTGGTCTTACATTTACAGTAAGATAGGTTTATATGAAATATTTAAACTGCTGTGGTTAACAGAATGAAAAGGTGATAAAAATCATGAAATCATGCTACCGTTAATATGGTTTTTACAGTTTGCAGGTTATTTATTTTAACTAGCTTGAGCAAGTTATTTGTTTATATACGTACAAGGAAATGTGAAGTTCTCAAATATGTGAAAGAAAGGAGGGATAAATGATAAATTTTTATCAATAGTGTGAAGAATGCTGGACTGAAATTAATAATAACAACGAGGGTACACATGAAGATTATGTTTACTCTTATGCCCGATGTGACAGATTTGTTATTGTAATCAAATGATCGAAGGCAACTGGAGGGGAGTGACTGAAAAGAATATTTTTAGAATGCTCAAATCTAGTCTTTAAACTTCGATTGTTATCTCTTACCAATCCATGTATATGTACTCTGATTCTACAAACCACAACGGTCCAAATGTTACAAACACGTAGTGGATACTAATATTATAAATTCCATTGAGGCATTACGAAAATATGCATTTAATTACTAAGTTTTAAAATTATTCAAGTCTTGACAAGTCAGTCAGTCGGCTACTACGTAGAAGTTCGTACGTACGTAAAGCAATCCAAGTTGCCATACCTCATTAACACAGAGATCAAATCGTCAATTAAAATCCCATAGTAGTAGAGGTTATCTCAGTATTAGCGGTAATTAAGATCAGGATTCCAAGAAATTATCCAACAAGTATAATCCAGTGAAATATATTTAAAAAAGAAATAAGGTAAGGTCCTGACCTCATGAGGTCTTGGGAGAAGACAAAGAACGAATGGACCTGTGCCATCACGTCATCTAAAGTCCCTAAACATCGGTTACTATAGTTTCGTGGACCCCAACCTGGTAGTCTACACCTACCAACGGGGCTCAGTCCAGTTATATTTCGGTCTGGCCACTCCAAGCTTTATTCCGACCTACTCCGACACCATAAAACATCGCTGTTCTAGGTAGTCGGCGGTTGGGCATTTGTATCACATATATTACCCATATCAAGTGGTCAAGATTCACTATTCCATCAGTTGATTTGCTATCCTTAAATTATACAATTTTCCTAACCCCAGCGTTACTTGCTGATCCCAGGACATTGCTTCTAAGACAAATATGGTAGAATTCCGGTCACCTATGAATACCCTCTCTCCTGGCGATTTTACACATCCGTATAAAAACGGAGCACAGTACTGCTGCACAGTAAATTCGTCCTTTGGATAGCGAATATATATCTCGACTACGATATAAGTGACGCAAGTTGGCAACAACCAATCGAGCCTTCTGTATTTGTGCTGAGATTTCGCCATACACCAAGCCATCAGCACTGATGAGACTCCCCAGATAAGTAAAATGGTCTACACGCTCAACTACTTCACTGCCTATCACTAATTCAGGTGCCGATGCAAGGTATTCCAGAAGCAACATTTCGCATTCTGAACATACTTGCATTGTTGCTCAAGGTGGTAGTTCGGAGACTCTGCATTTCGTCAGCGTCTTCACCAAATAGAACTATGTCATCGGCATATTCCAAGTCAACAATCGAATCTCTTGGTGGAAGGTCGACTCCTGAAAGTTTCATCTCTAAAAGCATGTCGATGACAAGTTGATTAATAATAGCAAAATTGGACAGCCCTGAGGAAAAACACTTGAAGTAATAAATCCCGTTGACAGTTCGCCATAAGCTCTTCCTCAAAATTTGTGTTTGAGTAGAGAACCTGTGTAAGGTTGATGTACTTCTTTGGTACACTTTTCAATGACAGACACTGCCAACTTGCGTCACTTATGACGTAAGTGAGATATCCGTTTGCTAAACAAAGGATGAGTTTACTGAACAGCAGTTGGCTCCGTCCTACCATACGGCTGTGAAACATGGCCAGTCAGAGTAGAAGCTGTTTGTAGGTTACTTGTTTTCGATCATAGGTGCCTTAGAAGCATTGCTCGTGTATCCAGGTATAACTGAGTAAGCTATGCTGTTGTTAGAACACGAGTACTAGGTAGGAATAGCAGATCAATAGATGAAGCATTAGAACTTCAGTTGAGGTGGTTGGGACATGTGTTACGTATGCCTAAACTCCGACTGCCTCGACGAGCTATGTTTTGTGGTGTAGGAGTAGTTTGTAAGAAAGCTAGAGGCGGCCAAACCAAAACATGACAGAAATGCATGAAGTCAATGAGAAGTGGACTGAGTCATGTTGGTAGATGCAGGCTATCAAAAGCATTCGAAAGCGTGGACAGAACAACCCTATGGAGGCTTCTCCGACACTACGGTGTGCTTGAGAAGATAGTCAGCATCATACGAAATTCTTATGATGGATCAAACTGCAAAATCGTGCACAGCTGACAGACTGGTTCCAGGTGAAGACCGGTGTCACACAAGGTTGCTTACTCCCACCTTTTCTCTTTCTCCTGGTAGTCGACTGGATTATGAAGACGTCGATATCCGCAGGAAAGTACGGTATCCAGTGGACAGCCAGGATGTATCTGGACGATTTAGACTTTGCAAATGATCTAGCTCTTCTAACGCACATGCAACAACAAATGCGAGAGAGGACGACCAGTGTAGCAGCAGCAGGTTTCAACATACATAAAGGGAAAAGCAAGATTCTGTGATACAGCGCAACATGCGCCCATCAAATCACTTTTGATGGAGATGCTTTGGAGGACGTTAACTCCTTTACATATCTCGGCAGCATAATCGACAGGATTTTCAGTAAAAATTTCAAGACAGTTCTACTGTGTGAGATGGAAACTTGATAAACCACCATATCCATCATCCAGAAGATACAAGTATACATTAACAGTTTTCTACGCAAAATACTTCGAATTTCTCAGCAAGAAACCATCAGCAACAATCTACTGTGGTATAGAACAAAGGACATTCCAGTAGAGGAGGATATCAGGAAGAAGCGCTTGAAGTGGCTAGGACACACGTTGCAGAGGGCACCCAACTGCGTCACAAGATAAGCCCTCACTAGGAAGCCTCAAGGCCGAAAGAAAAAGAGGATTGCTAAAGGACGTATTACGCCTCCCGACCGTAGCTGTTACCTTGGCATGGTGGTCGGGCTTGCCTATCGTGATTACCCAACCGAGATATATTGGCTAGAACATATGTTCCTGAAGGTTCTACCATGCTAGGCAGGTCGATCGGAGAACGACGAGACTAAAAGCAGCTACTCAAGGTCTGAGGGCGAATTCGTACTGCTGACTGCAGAGGAGTGTGACAGCAGTAAGGTGTTTCCCTCGGACAGCCAGCATCTGCAGCGATGCTGCCTTCTCACAAGGAAGGAAGGGTTAGAAAAGGTCGACCCTAAAAATTTCACACCTCACCTTGTTGCACGGATTTCCGTCTCCGGCGGTAAGGGTGCCCACTAAGGGCTTTCAAGGGCGGAGCTAGTCCTCAAAAAACCTTTGATAAAAAAGCCGTGCGTGACCGGCCTCATGCACTTGTCCCTTGGGCTCTGCGTTCACGCAACCTGGTCTTTAGGACTGACAAAAATCTACCTATTTTTTTTCATGTCCCTCAAGAAAGAACCTTCCATGGTGTGGGCAGCCGGGAAGCGACAACCGCCCTCATACCCATAACAGCACGCTGGACAAAATTGGTCAAAATTAAATCCTTCCTACACCCCATAATATCCCTCATATCCATACGACTAACTCTACTCACTTTCTTTTATCTCGCTGCACAGCTAATGCAAACGATGCGAGTTCACGAAACGTCATTCCTGGTCTCTTGAAACCCCGTTCTAAACTACATGTTGGAGCATGTAAAGTACGGACATTGTGTCAAATAGAGCAACAGGCATCATTAGCTAGGACTTTAGAATCTCGCTCAATCGATGTGTGCTGCCTCTCGAAAACGCGCACAAAGGATCCGAGTAACATCATTCACTTGACCTCACCGTGTTAAGATAAAGAAGCAACTCAATATACTCTTCGTGTATCCGGTAGCCATGATGCTGCTTCCCGGGGGCTCGCTGGCGTAGGTATGGCATTGAGTCGTAGGGCGGAAATAGCGCTCCTGGACTGGATCCCAGTAGATAGTCGCTTGTGCACTGTCCGACTAAACGAGAGTGTAAGAACTCGGAAAGATATAGACACCCGTCGTTGCCTCTTCGTCGTATCTGCCTATGCCCCCACTGACTGCAGTTCAGACGAGCTGAAAGATGAGTTCTATAGAAAGCTTTCGGACCTCCTCCAAAAAGCTAGGCGCTCCGATACAGTAATAATGGCTGGTGACTTTAATGCTGAAGTAGGTAGACTAAGTGAAAATGAAAGACACCTTGGTGGATGTTATGGTTTCGCTGCTAATAGAACAGACAATAGCGACCATCTGTTGCAACTGTGCTCAGATAACCGCCTATTCGTAGCTCGTTCTGGGGCACGTGTTTAGATTCAGATCATGCCCTAGTGCGAGCGCGTATTTGTTTGAGGCTTACTCGACGTAGGAAAGACACCGAAAAGAAATCTCTTAAGGTTCTACTTAATGATAATGATGCGAAGAATATATTCCGGGAAGAACTAGAAAGAGGGATAGGCAACCATGTAAGTGACTCCCATCCAGAGGCAGCTTGGATTGATGTCAAAAAGGCTGTGGAAACAGCAGTGATGTCCACTAGTAAGGCAAACCATAAGCCTAGTATGAGGCCGTGGGTCTCAGTAGCATCCAGCGAACTGATAGA